AATTCATCCGATTGTGTTCAATGTGTCTACTGTATTTTGTACTTTTCCTAAAATGAGAAGGTCAGCTTAGTCCAATCAACAGCATGTAAGTATAGGAGGGCGAGAGTACGCACTTTTTTGTGTGATGCTTCAATTTCGGGTGGATATCAACAAAACGCTCAGCTTGACTGGGGATGGTAGGGTGGTAAACGAAGTGTATAAATGGGTTATTTAAAAAAAGTTTGAGATGATTTCCGACGTCAACTGAGGTCTATTGTCAGTAACTAGCGTTTCCGGAAAACCAAACTTACCAAAAGGCCTATTTAGCATCATTATTGTTGATGTTGATGAGGTCTGAGGTAATAAATAAATCCCTCTGTGATAACTTAATGGTTATCTTATTAATAAAATAGGTTCTAGAAGTTTTAATTGTCTAATTAAATGAATATAAATTATAAACGACCTACTGTTTGTTTAATTTTACTAAGAACGACACTAAACACAAAGGTTTCACTGCTAAGTACTCGGCAGTTTTTAATTGATATTCTGTCAAGCATCAATTTATCACGAAAGTAATCTTCAAATACCATGAGCTGACATATATCGGATAACAGAGAAGAATTAAATGGTTTTGTCGACTGCGCTAAGGAATGGTTAGAAATATGCACATGATCTAGAATAAGAACTTCACGTCTCACAGAAAATCACTTAAACTACAGATTTGAACTCAAATGGTTCAATGTTTCAGCCTGGTGAACTGAGGATCGAACAGCAATCTCAAGTGATCAAAGGTTTTCAATGATTATAATGAGTATTTTGCCCTGAAACTCAGTTCATCTCATTTTTAAGCTCTAATATCGCCCTGAGCTTATGTGGTATTTAATTGTGTTCCTTTATTTGTAGAACATTTCCCTCAGTCTTTTCATCGCTTGACCGTGTTAATAAAATTCCGAAAGGAATTAAGTGAAATTCTATTTTTAAGATTAGAAGTTCTAGGACATCTAAATGACCGATCAATAATTTGGTTTGTTTGACCTTCTGAAATCATTCCAAGATGTGTATAACATATCATAAATTGATGAATTCGTAAACGTGTTTATTTTATGTGATGAACTGTTTACGACAAAGCAAGCACTACAATAATTCAACTGACCAGCCATCAAAATTAAATGTATTAAGTGAGCTTCAGCATAAGCAGTTAACAAAAAGAATTTTCCTAATAATATTTTACAAACCTGTGAGTTGCCTTTTAAACAATATAATTGAATAACTAGGCACGTATTTTTGTGCCTTCCGCGGAGTAGTTACACTTGGATGTTAGAAATTGTAACACTAACTGACTATCCAAACCGAAGCAAATGAAATGAGGTTGCATCAAGCCCATTCACATATTGTATGATTTGTGTGTTCTCTGTAATTTAGACATTAAATCTACTTTGTAAATTTATGTGTGAGTTTGGTTGAGCGCATGTGTCTGCACATCAATCTTTAACCTATTCTCTCATTGGCTGTAAGCAAAGACAATCAATAATTCATCCACAATCCATTAACACTCATAAATATATATGGATTTTCAACACTCATTGACACACACACTCACTTGTTTTCCCTATGTGCTTGCTATCTGTAGGCTCGCAGATTTTACCAAGCTTCAACAATAAACTATCTCTACAACCGGTTTTCAGGCTTTTGAATAATCTCGAGTAAACCCATCATTCTACTAGATTTAGCCTGCATTACATATTCCGCTAACCTGATATTGTTTATTTATTGGGGTCAAATATAGAGGAACTAATCCTCTACAGGGGTCATACCTTTGCAGTGGCTGGTACTAAGTCAAGCCCACATAGGTTATTCTAGCCTATGGACAGACCAATCTATTCGTTCTCCTCAAGCCACGTTTTTGTCCTGTCACTTATCCGCCTATTATTAATCCTGACTGTTTTTGTATGATCGTGTGTGTTATTGCTCACCCTATTCATCACATGTCTGTAACTTATTTTTGCCTGACTACAAATATCGATTCACGCTTGGCTCACATGCCTTCCCCGATCCGTTTCGCTTCGCTGTCATCCTTGCTTTCTTGGCTTCGTTTCTCTAATCGTCTGTTTGGATCAACGATTGTATGAAATATGAGTATTCAAAATCCATTCTTCTATTTGATTTATTTAATTCCGTTATTTACTAAAGCGATTTAAGTCGATTATATATTGATATCTATATCTATCTATCTATCTATCTATCTATCTATATATATATATATATATATATATATATATTGATATACGAGGGTTGGCGGTATGTATGTTACGACAATAATCAGAAAACGATTGAAAGGGAGTCAGAAATTGAGCCACATAGAAGAGAAGAGCCTGACGACGAACCTAACGCAGCAAATGACGTCGATGAAGAACCTTCCGTACTCTACACTTTCGAAAAACAAACTCAACGTCGCTTACTCAATCAATAAACAACACAGTTTTCGACCATACAATCAAATCGGAGAAAGATCATGGCACCGCTAAACCTTTGGCTCAGTTGCTGGAAGTCAAATAATTTCAACAAACAAAGCACCGTTTATGAGTTGAATTTCAATTCAACACATACATAATACAGCCAAATGGGTTGATCTTAGAAGCAGTATGTCACAAGAATACGGAGGTAAGAGACCAATCTTAATTCGAAAGCCTTTCAAAGAATGAAATATTGTTGAACAGAAATCTGGAAATAAATGAATAATTTGTAATCAGAGTGGGGATTTGTGGAGATTGTAGTAACTTTATTAGTTGAATTTATGAGTCAATCTAACCTAAACCACCATTGAAAACCTGGAAGCATTGTTAGGTCTTTTCGTCCTAGTATGGGACTCCTTAATAGTGCGTATCTACAATACCGTACACGAAACTCGAACTCAGGACCATAGGTCTCGCGGGTGAACACTGAAACATAGACCACTGGGCCGGCATCCAATGGTGTAAATGTCTAACTCTAATCAGTCTATTATCTTGCGCGACCTCTCATCTATTGTCTGAATCGGATAACTGTCTCCACCCAACAAGGATTGAACGCCATTGATCACAACACCTCACTAGATGGATGAAGTGCTGAAGGATTACAGTGCTTCCAGGTTTTCAATGGTGGTTTAGCTTATATATAATAGTTATATAATATACCCTTGTGGGTCAGAGTAATTTTGCATTGGTTTTCATAAGAACCAGACTTTTATGTGACAGCCCAAACAGTATAGCTCAATCTCGCCTCACAGGAGAACCAGACACCATATAGGCTTCAACGCTACAGTCTGAATAGTACAGTTCAATCCTGTAGTGCAACCACACAGGTACCAAGCACCTTGATCAACCATTCGCACCATTCATATACACATTCACATCACAAGTATAATTATTCCGATCAATGATCGGGTAAATCAATTATGCACAGCATGAACAGGCCAAAGTTGGCCTATTCCGCTTACGCGACAATCCAACTCATTGCTGTTAGCAATGGCAACATGCCTTACAATGTTCCAATGACAATGGCCCTTGAGAACACTGAAAAGCAACCACCAGTATGAATGAAATCGGTTAATCAGCAAACCAACAATTTATAAGTTAGGAATAAATAAAATTATCATTACATGGTTATTTTGCATGTCCCATCAAATTAGGATGAGGTTATGTTGTATCCCGAAGAGAATTATGAATGGTAACTTTTGAGAAATATTTATGGACCAATATGATATGTATATTCCCTATTGTATAATTGTTAAGTAACTAAACTATTCATATTCGTGTCCCTTTTAGTATAAGCTTTGTTTTGACCTATGAACTATTACTATACGACTTACCGTCTATTGACTACTGCCTCCCACATTCACTTTGGACTGAGTCTTGTACAAATGTTGTTTCTTATTTTATGGTACGATGTGGTCAATCTGTTTGGTATATAAACTCAGTATGTTTGAAATATAATGATTCATATTGCAGAGGCTTTTATTGGTGTTCTGGACTTAACTGGGTGGGCTAGGCAGATAACAGGACCGACAAGCGCTCTAGACTGCTCGTACGGGTTTCGTGCGTCACTGGTCTGATCGATAATTCACTGTTCTCTAATTAGCGGTCTTATCACGTCACATATTAACTCGGCACGCAGGCCACAAGATATAACAAGTTGTTTTTAGTTATATCTAATAAACTTATTCAGCATACTAGAACTGTAATTATTGCTATGTCGAAAAATTAAAAACTATCTTTGGTTTTAAAACAGGTTTAAACCGGTCATATGCCTACAAAGAATATGGAACAGTATTAGGTATTTATTACACGGACAATGCAACAGGTGGTAAATTAGCAAGAAAAAAGTAATAGTGTTTAACCTCCACATATAGAGAATACTGAATACGCCCATTAATATATATATATGATCCGTTGGGCGCTACTTACCGAGTTTTTGCTCTCTTGATGTTATTTTCCTTGTTCTTATTGGAATAATTGTGTTCAGATAATTTCATACCAGGAAGCATCATGTTGAAAATTAGCAACTTATCGTTTTAAATGTATTTGTGCTCATATGAGCCTTTAAAGAACTTTTATCTCGTAGTACTGGAATCCAAAATGCATATTTCTCCCTAAATAGGACTCGTTAGTTGGATGTGTCCGTATCCTGCTGTTGATGTTCGTACTGAGACTTGCCCCCTGTAAATTTCGACTTAAACCCTAGCGCGTAATCCACTGAGCCAGTGAGTCCAGATAGCCACTTGCTCAATGGGTATTAATTTATACGTATATTAAACTAAAAACATGTAGCTAAAAGAATTATTGAGACAATCCACTTAGGATTTCGGAAGAGATTGATAAGCTTGAGCTTTCAATATCAGCAACGAGAAAACTCAAACTTTTATAAATATGAATCTCATATTTCCTTTTTTGGATTTAAGACGGGATAATACTACGTCAATGCATTATAGCTTTGAGTTTTCCGTATATCCTTGTTCTAGACGACCCTGAATATAACCAACATAATAAGCATAATAAAGATATTATTGAAACATAACTACAAAAAACACGATACACATACATAGGCGTATTCAGAATAATAATTAGTGTTATAACACCTTACGTAATACATGATAAATGTAGCATATATATAACATCTAATGAATTGATTTAGGAATTGAAGGGATCGTTGCTTTGCTTCAAATGGGGCACCCATTAAAACATAATAATATAAACAATGTTAATTTGAGCAACTGATCGCTGATTCACTCGAAGGAATTAACATATGGAAGTGGGGAAAAATCGAAGCAAGTAACAGGAAAATAAATTCAAAAAAAACATTTAAAAGTAATAGAAACAGTCACTTAACATAGCATACCAATTCACTAAGAGTTCGATTATTAAAAGGTTAACAAGGAAGAACACAGCCAAACAAAATAAATTTGATGACAACCAAATGTTAATAAATTAAGAAATGAGAGCAGTTTAACAGTAGTAAGTGTTGTTAGTTTCACTGTGAGTAGGTTTATCAGTAAACAAAATTTGGTTTAAATTCATTTGAATAAACTATATGATATTTTCAGTGCCACTTTTAAAAGTCGAATTGTGTGAAGCAGAGTAAGACACAAATTATCAACTTATATGTCTCATATCAATTATGAATTCATTAGTTCTAGTATTAGGAATGTACCTAGAATGATATGTACAATTCAATATTATTTTATTGCTAATAACAAAGAAGATTCTCGCTACAATTAACAATTAGAACTGAAATTTTGTATGCATATGTTTAAGTTACACAGCGAGAACATTGTATAAACAATGAAGCAATCAACCTGAAATACTAAGAAAGATTATTTAACATTAATTAAAAACAGTTTGTGTTCGTTTACAACTAATTTTTTGATTAATTCTATTAGCGAAATTAAGTCGTCGAAGATTATAATTATTATAATGTGCAAAACTGCGATATTGATTCATTTTATTAGAAGCAAAATTATGAACGGGTTTTCGTGAAGTTGTACTAAATGACCGTTTAAGTTTCCGTAACTTCATAAAATTGGACAACCGATGATGAACAAATGAAGCTGTTGATTTTTTGGAGACTGGAGAAGTGGACGGAGGTAGGAGCGGAGAAGTGGAGGTGGAAGAACATAATGAAGAAAGATTTTTGTAGAGATCAAAACGACTAGATGAATCCTCACGAACTACACAATCGGCCACTGCTAAAACATATCAAACCAAAAAAATTACACCAGGTTAAGAAGTACAAACTACTAATAAGAAATAATTTTACAATAGGCAATTTTTCCTTAATATTGAGTTTGGAGTTAGTTTGGTAATGACACTAGGTTGTATGATGATAGTGAACTACATTTACTAAAATAATTAGCCAAAATATTTTTGAAAAGGTACTACTTGAAGTAAAATAGACTGGGACACAGAAGTAAGTGAGGAGAAACAATTGCTTGCTTAATGGTAAAATAATCCACTTTTGTTCCCTATTTCTCCTCATTTTTATTATGTTTTCCACCATTTTTTCCCACACTTATCTTCCCCTCAATTTTTCTGTGACAAAATTCCAAATCCTTCACTATTTATGGCTAACAGTTTTGGATTTATAGGCTACAGTTCCAAGATTCATTTGGTAAACCGTGAATAGGAGTCTTTAATGATCACTCCTACCGATTATTAGGATGTATAAAAAATTATTGAGTTTTACCGAGATAGGGAACAAAACCATGTTTATTTTCTTTGCCTTTAGACATGATTAAAAATGGAGCCGAGGTAAACTTACAATAAGATTCTAAGCTGATAGTTAGCAGCACAGAATGTTGGAAGCTAAAACAGAAACAAAGTAAGGGGATGGTAGTTAACAAATTTGTTAGTTTGTAAGTATAAACGATTCACAAAGATTATCGGCGAACATAATGGGTGACTATTATATTCCAGTCTTCGTTGTTATATCTTTGTTGTCTGGGCGTGTATAGAAGCAGTTACGTACGCATCGACTCTGTTGAGTTTAAAGTCATACTGCCTATAATTGATGATTCGGAACCACTGCAATTCCTCGATCCTTACACTCATACTTCGAAAAGAGAACCACTGTAACTATCGTGACTCAAATTAGGAACACAATATCACATAGGTGAAATACATGGAGTTACTGTAAAAGCAAATACATTAAATATTGTTCACCTGAATTGATACAGGGAATATAATTGTCAAACTGAATGAAAATTCACATTTGTCACATTGAGCGAAGTTTATGCTAAATCGGCACAAGAAAATATTGACCTTAAAACGTTACACTGAACGATTGTCACACCTGTTACCTTGGTCGGAATTCATAATGGAAATCAGCAAAAAATATTGACCTAAATTATGTAGTCTTTTTATCCCGTCGTAAAAGTGATTATTAGAACAGACGACGAGTATGCTATAAATATTACTCGAAAGAAAATTTAGATTAACTAAATAGTGATAGTTAAGTTGACCAGATCACAGCTTAGTCACATACATGTAGAGAAATAAACGTAGAGGAAAAGCAGGAGTGAGAAGTGTTGTGTCCCGATAAAAATAGTGAATGGTAACATTGGCATCCATTTATGGACCAGTATTAATGCATATATTTATTATCGTATAATTGCTAAATAACTAAACTATTCATACTCATGTTCCCCTTATTATAAGCTTTGTTTTGACCTATAGACTATTATTGTATGATTTACCATTCTTGAGTTATCCTAAGTCTATTAATTGCTGCCTCCTACATTTGGCTAAATCATGTACAAATGTTGTTTCCTATTTTATGGTACGATGTGGTCAATCTGTTTGGTATATAAACTCAGTATGTTTGAAATATAATGATTCATATTGCAGAGGCTTTTATTGGTGTTGTGGACTTAACTGGGTGGGCTAGGCAGATAACAGGACCGACAAGCGCTCTAGATTGCTCGTACGGGTTTCGTGCGTCACTGGTCCGATCGATAATTCACTGTTCTCTAATTAGCGGTCTTATCACGTCATATATTTACTGGGCACGCAAGCCACAAGATATAACAAGAAGAATAGTGAGTTGTTGTGAAATAATAAGAAACATGAAATTTTAATGCAATGTATGATGAAGTGACCAACCATTACCACCTAAATGAAGTGGTAAATCATTCTACTTTGAGTCATATGGCCTTAGGTTTGAACTCTGATCCTCTTTTGTTACAATTACAGATGCCGCGTAGTATCACTAGCCTGCACACAAAACCTGTTGCTTTGAACCGAACACACAGATTTGTGGTGGATTATTGCCTTGTAAACTCGAATAAAACAATCAGATTACGGATATATGTGTACCAACTATTTATCACTATTACAAGGTACAATTATAGTTAAAACTATAATGATTGCTTGAATGTCGAAATATTTATAAGACGTCTTGAGGTGAGTGAATTTAGCAAGGGGGACTAGAAATAGCAAGATCTGTAGTTTTACATTATGGACTGACAATACTGCAACAACGATTGAAAACTAGGGAGCACTGGACAACTTTTACTCTTCCATAGAACGTTTCGGCAGTGTTCAACGACGACCCCGCTAGAGACCGAACCCAGGATATTTAGGTCTCGCAACGAGAATTTACTTAACCTCTACACCACTAAGTGGGTATCTAGCCTGTACTTACTTACTTACGCCTATTACCCCTCGTCGAGGAGCATAGGCCGCTCACCAGCATTCTCCATCCAACTCTGTCCTGAGCCTTCCTTCCCAGTTCTTTCCAGTTGCTATTCATCCTTTTCATATCGGCTTCTATTTCCCGGCGTAGTGTGTTCTTTGGCCTTCCTCTTTTCCGCTTCCCTTCCGGATTCCAAGTTAGGGATTGAGTCGTGATGCACATTGGTGATTTCCTTAATGTATGTCCGATCCACTTCCAACGTCTTTTCCTTATTTCCTCTTCAGCTGGAAGCTGGTTTGTCCTCTCCCATAAAACGCTGTTGCTGATAGTATCCGGCCAATGGATGTTGAGTATTTTGCGTAGACAACTGTTTATAAATACTTGTACCTTCCTGATGATGGCCGTAGGAGTTCTCCACGTTTCAGCTCCATACAGTAGGACTGTCTTGACGTTCGTATTAAAGATTCTCACCTTGAAATTGGTTGAGAGTTGTTTTGAGTTCCATATGTTCTGCAATTGTAGAAATGCTGCCCTTGCTTTGCCAATCCTTGCCTTTACATCTGCATCCGATCCTCCTTGTTTATCAACGATGCTCCCCAGGTACTTGAATGTTTCCACCTCTTCCAGAGTTTCGCCATCAAGTGTGATTGGGTCGGTGTTCTCCGTGTTGCATTTGAGAATCTTGCTTTTTCCTTTGTGAATGTGGAGGCCTATCGATGCGGAGGCTGCTGCTACATTTGCTGTCTTCATCTGCATTTGTTTGTGTGTATGAGAGAGGAGGGCTAGGTCATCTGCGAAGTCCAAATCATCTAATTGATTCTGAGAAGTCCATTGTATTCCGTATTTCCCTTCAGATGTCGAATTCGTCATAATCCAGTCAATCACTAGAAGGAAGAGAAATGAGAAGAGTAGACAGCCTTGTCTGACTCCGGTCCTTACTGGAAATGCATCTGTCAGCTGTCCTCCATGCACCACTTTGCACTGTAATCCATCGTATGAGTTTTGGATAATGTTGACGATCTTCTGAGGAACTCCATAGTGTCGAAGAAGTTTCCACAATGTTCTCCTATCCACGCTGTCAAACGCCTTCTCATAGTCGATGAAGTTGACGTATAGTGATGAGTTCCACTCAACTGATTGTTCAACGATGATCCGTAGTGTCGCAATCTGGTCTGTGCTCGACCGATCCTTACGGAATCCAGCCTGATGATCCCTAAGTTCGGCGTCTACTGCGTCTTTCATCCGATTCAGCAGCACTCTGTTGAAAACTTTTCCTGGTACTGATAACAAACTGATGCCTCTGTAGTTCTCACATTGGCTCAGATCTCCTTTCTTTGGTATCTTGATGAGATATCCTTCTTTCCAGTCCGTTGGCACTTGTTCCTCTTCCCAAATCTTTTTGAATAGAAGGTGAAGCATGTTTGCAGTTATTTCAATGTCTGACTTCAGTGCTTCTGCTGGTATATTGTCAGGTCCTGCCGCCTTCCCACTTTTGATTTGTCTGATGGCCATCTTGACTTCTTCGATCGTTGGTGGAGTGACATCTATTGGAAGGTCAGTGTGGGCTGCTTCGATGTTCGGTGGATTCGATGGGGCTGGTCTATTCAGCAGTTCCTCAAAGTATTCTGCCCATCTTTTCCTCTGTTCCTGAATCTCAGTGATTGTCTTTCCTTCTTTGTCTTTGACTGGTCTCTCTGGTTTGCTATATCTCCCTGCCAATTTCTTCGTTGTATCATATAGTTGTTTCATATTCCCTTCTCTTGCAGCTTTTTCCGCCGTCGTTGCTAGTTCTCCCATGTATTTCTGCTTGTCGGCTTTAATGCTTTTCTTCACTTCTCTGTTTGCTTCTGCGTAGTCTGCTTGTGCTTTGACTTTCTCTGCTCGTGTTCGGCTGTTGTTAATTGCTAGTTTCTTGTTCTTCCTTTCTTGAAGTTTGTCCAGGGTCCCGATAGAGATCCATTCCTTGTGATGGTGCTTCTTAGGACCAAGAACCTCCTGACACGTTGAAGTTAGTGCTTCTTTTATCCCTTTCCAGTTGTCCTCCAAAGTAGTTTCTTGTTCTTTCAGTAGATCCTGTAGAGCTTGGAACCTGTTGTTGAGAGTTATCTTGAATTCATGGAGTTTGTCAGTATCTCGAAGGAAGGCTGTATTAAACCTTTGTAGTGCTGTTTGTCCAGTTGTCCAGTCTTTCTTTAGCTTCAGTCTCATCTTGGCCACAACCAGGTGGTGATCTGAAGCTATGTCAGCTCCTCTCCGGGTTCTCACATCTTCCATTGATCTTCGGAATTTTTTGTTGATACAGATGTGATCAATCTGGTTCTCTGTGGTGTGGTCCGGTGAGATCCATGTAGCTGTGTGTATGCGTTTGTGTGGGAATATTGTGCCGCCTATAACCAATTTGTTGAAAGCACATAGGTTTGCAAGTCTCTCCCCATTTTCATTTCTCTCTCCTAGTCCATGTCGTCCAATTACATCTTCATATCCTGTGTTGTCCACTCCAACTTTAGCATTTAGATCTCCCATAAGGATGGTGAGGTCCTTTCGTGAGCACTTTGCTATAATTGATTGCAGCCTTTCATAGAACTGATCTTTATCATCGTCGTTGCTATCATTGGTGGGTGCATAACATTGGATAACATTCATTGTGATCCCTTGCTTCTTTGTTCTGAATGATGCTTTGATTATCCTGGGTCCATGAGATTCCCATCCCACAAGTGCATTTCGTGCTTCTCTGGACAGCATTAGAGCAACTCCCTGAGTGTGTGGCGCATTTTCCCCTTCGTGACCGGAGTACAGCAGCATCTCTCCTGTACCTAGCCTTTGTTGTCCAGTTTGTGTCCAATGGGTTTCGCTGATTCCGAGTACTGCCAAGTTGTATCTCCTCATTTCCATTGCTATTTGGCTGGTCTTTCCTGTTTCCCACATTGTCCGGACGTTCCATGTACCTATAAAGAGTGTTGCTCTGGTTGTTAGAAGGTGCATCGGTCTCGTGACTTCCGAAGAATTTCGGCTTTCATCATGAGACATCATTATTCCTTCAACTCCCAGGGCAGAGTTTAAATGGTTTGGATTATTTTTCTGGTTAGCGTTTTTTTAGCGAGTTAGCTTTTCTACGGGATGGGGTCGCTAACCCCATGCCCAACCCTCCTCCTTTACCCGGGCTTGGGACCGGCAGTAACTCTAGAAGAGCTACAGGCGGAGTTGGGTATCTAGCAGTTAACATAAATTAATTTAGACTTTTAACTAACTATGAGTATTCATTCTTATGATATGTTGAGAAAAATGCAAAAGTGATGCTTAAATTCATCTATAAGAGATTTTAAAAATCAGATAGACATTTTGAGATATAATAGACACAAATGAGAGACATCATAATTATTGCATGATTTTGGTTATAATTCTTCCTTACCTCCTTTAAATTCATTTATTTAAACACAGACAATGGTACAATGAGGCAACAAATATATATGCGCCAGACAAATCATTCGATATGTGTGAGAGCTTTGATACTGAGCGGGTGCCCAGACCGAAGCAGGTGGTTTTCTTAAGGGTCTATACCCCGATTCTCTGACCTAGAGGTCTAATCCATAAGGCAGTGGAGAAACGCTAGGAGATGCAGTTCCATGGTTGCCGGTGACCAACAATAGGTTCATACGCCATTTGTTCTCTTAGGATCTTGGGGCGTATATGCACCACTAGTTTGGAATCAGGGTTATCCAACTCTCCTAAGTGGATCGTCCGTGTCCACCAACCTAGTTAAAGCGCCGGATATTCGCTTTTAGTCCTCTCAATTTCGTAAACAACACCCTCTCCGCGAGCAGGACTTCCCTGGCAGTGGTTGTATACGCATGACCATGTGAGAGCAATTCGTGAGGGAGAACTGACTCTCTGAAATATCTATCTACGAAAAAAGTGACTATGAAAGGAAGGCACATTTTAACAAATTATTCGAAAGTTATATAATAATTTATGCTACTGAATAAAAGTCACCTGTTTTCATGGAGAATCCACAGTAATCCTGTATCAGCTGACTAAGTTCAATGCGTAGTATGCGTTCTCCTTCAATAAAGATATAAATGAAAACGAATTATTCAGTATGAAAAAACAAAAAACTTGTTAACAAAAGAATTAACATTATCCTATGTGAAGTAATTCATTCAAATTCTAGTCATTTGGCCCTAAAACGCCCTGGTACGTTAGAGAGTGGGGAGAGTCAGCTCTCCCTCACGAATTGCTCTCACATGGTCATGCGTATACAACCACTGCCAGGGAAGTCCTGCTCACTGCCTTCTCGCGGAGAGGGTGTTGTTTACGAAATTGAGAGGACTAAAAGCGAATATCCGGCGCTTTAACTAGGTTGGTGGACACGGACGATCCACTTAGGAGAGTTGGATAACCCTGATTCCAAACTAGTGGTGCATATACGCCCCAAGATCCTAAGAGAACAAATGGCGTATGAACCTATTGTTGGTCACCGGCAACCATGGAACTGCATCTCCTAGCGTTTCTCCACTGCCTTATGGATTAGACCTCTAGGTCAGAGAATCGGGGTATAGACCCTTAAGAAAACCACCTGCTTCGGTCTGGGCACCCGCTCAGTATCAAAGCTCTCACACAAATCGAATGAAATGAGAATTACTTCACGAAATACTATGCTTGCTTCAATTAGAATTCAGACAATTCACATTCACTTGATGACACGTTTTATTATTATTATTTTATATACTACGTCACTTATCTTTCTCTATTCCCACTTCATGTACTCCCATTTTTCAATTTATACAGCAGCTCGCCTATGGTGGAAACTCTGTTCTAGCTAAACGATCTCGATCCACTGACCGGTCGAAAGTTGTTGCATCCACCGAATACGAATACTGAACCAGTCTCTCAGAAACCACGTATACCATTCAAACTGGCTTGCTTCAACGTTCGCACACTAATGCAGATCGGAAAACATATAGGGTTGGCTTTGTCCTTAGAAAGTTTTAATATCGACGTCTGCTGTCTATCCGAGACCCGTATTCAAGACTCTAGTAAAGTACTACAAATTCACTCTCCATCTGTCCATCAAAGTAAGAAGAAATCGGTGTGGGGAACGATGTCTATTCATTATCTCCGCCTATGCCCCGACAGATTGCAGCCCAGATGTGATCAAGTATGAATTTTACAACCAGTTAACTATTCTTCTTTAGAAAGTGCGTCCGACAGATATTTTAGTACTAGCCGGAGACTTAAATGATCAGGTCGGGCGTCTAGGCACAGAAGAGAGTCGTTTAGGTGGCCGATGTAAACTTGTTAATCGCAGGTCAGATAATGGGGACCATCTACTGCACTAAATACATATGCGCCGCACAAATCTCATTTGATTTGTGTGAGGGCTGGAATACTGCACAGGTGCCCAAACGGAAGCAGGTGGTTTTCTTAGGGGGCCACACCCGAGGCCTTTGACCTAAAGGTCTGATCCACAAGGCAGTGGAGCATCGTAAGGAGATGCAGTCCCATGGTAGCCGGCGACCAACGATGGACCATCACTAGTTGTCGGCGCTAGACAAACAAGCACTTCAATAGCTCTACAACATTCTTTATCTGATGAAATAGTTGTTGGTTCAATAACACACTCTCTGAGAGGATGAAGAGTAGAGTTTAGACACTTTGCCATCTACTGCAACTGTGCACAGACCACAACCTGTTTCTGGCTAGCAATAACTTCCGGCATAGTCATCACTGATGTGCTACCTGGCGTCCTCCCTCTGAATCTCAAGCCTGGACTCGGATTGATCACATCGCGATCAACTACCGCTGGCTTTGTTGTTTACAAGACTGCCGCTCCTTTTGGAGTACCTATCTGGACCCTGATCATGTCATTGTTTGTCCCAATCTTACTTTTCAGTGCCCAACAAATTCATCGTTCTAAACGGATCGATGTCAGTAAATTGATTGCAGCTTCTGTTGCAACTAAGAATAAAACCGAGCTAAGTTCTAGGCTAGCTACCATCCCATCGAAAAGTATAGCTGAGCATTGGTTGAAATTGCATGACGCCATGAAAATGGCGAGTAAAGTCGCTTTCGGCTTCGTGAAAAATCCTTCCTATAAACACTGGGTTTCTTCAGGCTCCTTACAACTCATCGAGACCCATCAGTCGACCCCAGGTGACTGTGAGTTGGACCACAAATGAAAGCTGTTACATAATAAAATTGGGCAAAGCTTGCGTAAGAATTGAGAAACCTAGTGGTCGAGGGTTGCCAATGAGTTGAAGGCAGCAGCTGCATCTGGTGACTGCTGGAAGCTCTTCCAACTTATCCGAGCCACTGGCAGCAAGAAGTATGGTGTGGGCGCAACAATCCATGAAGATGACGGTATGCCAATCACTAATATCTGTCGATGGGCGCAGTTTTTCGAAGGGCAGTTCAACTGGTCTGCTGCCCCGGCAACATCGATCGACCGTCCTGCCCTCCATGGCCTGACGACTGATTCACCAAATGAGGTGGAAGTTCGCAAGGAACTCAAACTCTTGAAGCTCTACAAATCACCGGGCTCGGACGACCTACCTCCAGTTCTTTTTAAAGGTGGTGGTGATTTTCTTATTAAGGAGCTAACTGAGTTGTTTACAAACGCTTGGCAGTTAGAGAGTGTTCCAACATCATGAAGTGAGTCGAAATTAACAACTATCATCAAAAAATGTTCACGTCGTTTCTGTAACGACTATCAAGAGTCAAGTCTACTTCTAATCGCGTCCATGCTATTGGCTTCCGTCATACTTCGTAAGTTGTTCAAAACCCAAGCAAGATTGACCCGCAAGAAGCAGGCAGGTTTTCATTCTGGTCGATGATGTATTGACCACATCTTCACTCTCCGCCAAATGTTAGAATATTATCATACTTATCACAAGTCAACAATCGTAGTGTTGCTTGACACCAGGGCTGCCTTCGATTCGTTGGACAGGACTGTTTTCTGAGAGTATCTTTTGAAGAAAAGTGTGCCTGAGAAGTTTATTAACGTCTTGAAACCCCTATATGCTAATACCTCAGGCAGAGTGAGGGCATACAACCACCTCTCTCAGTCAATCAGGTATAACGTAGGACCAGGCTTATATATCCATCGGTCCAAGTTGCCATACCACACTATCACAAGATAAACACCGAATTCAGAGAAGTAGTTACTTCAACGATAGTAATATATAAAAGAAATATTGTGTATAGGGATATAATACAAGAAGGAAGAAAGGTATGAAGCAATTTTAATCTCAAGGTTTAAGGGAAAACAGGGAGTGTATACACATACACCATTTTGATCGATTCTGAGCCATGTCACACAGAGTCTCCAACCATTGGTTACAATTGTCACACGGACCCCAGCCAATTCGTCTGCATCTGCCAACATGGTTAAGAATAGAAGTTAGTGACTTCAAGCACTGATGCCACATTTTGGTTTGGTCGCCCCTAACCTTCTTCCAACCATCCCCGGTACTAGTCATCGTTGCGCGTCGTGGTAACTGGTGTTCAGGCATACGTAACACATGGCCCAACCATCTCAGTTGATGAATATTCACGACCTCATCAACTGATTTACCATTATTCCCTAATACCCTGCGTCTAACCTCACTATTACTTACCTGGTGGTACCAGCAGATGTGAGCATTATTTCTAAGACATCTGTGGTCAAATACTAGTAACTTATGAGTTGTCGACGCGTCCGACTACTTCACTCCCTATCCTTAGTTCAGGTGCTGACGCAGGCCACTCCTGGAGCAACAATTTACATTTAGATGGGAAGAAACGCATTTCAAACATCTTTTCATTGTTACTCAGTGCTATTAAAAGACTCTGTATTTTGTCAGCATCTTCACCAAACAGTATTATATTATCTGCGTATTCTAAGTCGATAAGTGGATCTCCTGGTAGGAGACCAATTCCTGAAAATTCAGTCGATGAGAGCGTTATTTCCAGCAGTAGGTCTATGATGAAAATGAACAGAAATTGAGATAGTGAACAGCCTTGTCGGACACCACTTGAGGTTGTAAAATCAGATGACAGTTCGCCATAAGCTCTGACTCGACTGGTAGTGTTTGAGTAAAAATTCTTCACAGGGTTTATGTACTTCTGAGGTACACCTTTCAATGACAGACGCAGTCATAGAACCTCTCGTTCTACAGAGTCAAAAGCTGCTTTTAAGTCAAGAAAGATCACCATTGTCGGACGTCCGTTGACCGGATACTATCAGTAACAGCCTACTGTGCGAGAGAATAAACCAACTTCCAACTGAAGGGGGAAATTAAGAAAAGACGTTGGAAGTGGATAGGACATACATTACCGAAATCATTAAACTGCATCAAGAGGTAAGCCCTAACTTAGAATCCTGAATGGAAAAGTAGAAAGGGGAAGGTCAAAGAACACACTGCGCCGACTATTGGAAGCAGACATGAAAAAAATGAATAGCAACTGGAGAGGATTGCCCAGGATAGAGTTTGATGGAGAATGTTGGTGGGTGGCCTATGCTCCTCCACGAAGGGTAACAGGCATAAGTAAGTGTCGTGCTATGAAAGGTAAACATATAGGACTGGTATTTATCAATTAATGATTGTGCAACTCAATGGATTCTGATGCTACCAAATAGAGTTCAGATAAGAAACCCGTGGAGACCCTTATTTAGGTTTTTATTGTACAATTTATAAAGTGAGATAAGCTTCATTAACTTGAAGAAACCCTTCTTGGATGTGTTTTTAACAGGACTCTCCTTTACTACATGATATTTCTGTTTATTTATTTGTTAATTGTACTATCATTCTCTCCTTTGTTCGTTTACAATATTTGGTTTTTGTTTGTGTTATGTTCTAAGATTTATGCCCTTGAATAGATAAATATATTTTCCATTAAAATATTTCATACTTACGTTCTAAATTTTTAAGAAATGTTTCCGCTTCTGACGTAGAAAGATAACGAAAGAATGGTCTCAGCCACTGAGGATGTCTTTAAGTTGAAAAGGAAGAAAACAATTAATTGTTTACGAATACAAATGACAAAATAATTATATATATATAACATTTGAAGACATCAAGCAAAATAAGGAATATAGTGATTTTCTTATAATAAAAAATTGATATGACTCTGTAGGGAAGAAGTGTTTTGTTGAAATATTAAAATTATTAAAGTGATCACATTACATGATACCTTTTGACTTTGGGGAGCACACGATTTTGACTTTATTGACTACCCAGAAATAATGCAAGGTTTAAGAATGAATTCGGCATTTTACTTTATTCGAATTAGGGACACTTTGAACTTTCCTTATTTTTGTACTTTTACTTATAATATGTCATTAACATTTACATCGGCAGATAATTATGTTTGGATTACACTGATTGTTATTCCAATGAGACTGAGTCTATCATTACTGTTGGAAAGAAGTTTAGTTAGTCTACCTAACTCAAAGTTATGTTGATTTATTACTAGCATCGCAATTCAAATAAGGTTGAATTTCAGTTAGTTAGAAAGCCCTTAAAACCCAGTTAAACTGATCCTCGAAGTCCTACCAATGGCATCAGTGATTCATCCGTACGGTTGAAAGTTTTCCTAACTCCCGGTTTGCGGAAAAGTATCTTATAAAATGCATGAATATTTGATTATTTGTCAGAAGATACATCAACCAATGTGTATAGTCAATAGACTATTGTCATATGGAATTTAGAAAAATAGAAATTTTAGGGAAATATTAAAGAATTACTTAGTACTAGCAAATAAAAACTAATTTCTGGACTAAAATAAAAATGACTTACGTAAGAAACGTTTTTTCACAACTTTTAGCATTATAAACACTTTGCGAAGTAGAAGATGGTATTCTAGGATTACGAGGTGGACGTCCACGACGGCGATGTACAGGGACTGTTAATGGGGTCTCTACATTTTCAGCAAGCCATATAAGAATTTTAAGAGAATTATATATATCTGAATTCGATGAAATATCAGTCTGAAGTATCTCATTCCCAGATGTATGATACTGAATTTCTCCACAAGATTCAGTATTAACATTTTCTGAGTTTGATATGCTACACCTATAAAAAAAGGACTTGAATTATATCAAAGAATGAAGTTTTATGACCGACCGGATAATTCTATAAATTAATCGCACTCTAGTTTTTTCTGTCTAATATACCTATATTCATCCAAATGTACGCCAGGAGAAATGTATCAAGGTTATCTGACAAAGACTAATAGGTACATATTGGAGATCGAAGACAACTTCAGGAAAAATTAGACAACTGTAGGCGAGACTTAGTGCATTACCGTCAGGATATTCACTGTAGTGTATTTACAGTACAGTTTAGTGTGGTTGACTTTTAAACAATCTTATTCAGCTTGCGAAATTAGAAAGGCGATAATGAACACAATTACGGAAAAATTTCCCATCTGTGTTTATTTATTTATTTAAACACATAAGTATTGGTGCAAGGGAGCACCAGATATACATGCGCCATACGAAACAATGAAAGCGGGAAGATAAAGGGATAAGATACATATAAAAAAGTAATGGTGAGGGAAACTGAAATGTACAGCCAGAAAAACTTTCTCAGTTAAGGAGGTTATAACCACTCTTTATGCAGAAAGTAAAAGAAGGTTACAGCAGGCTCGCCACTGGCTTCTATTCTGAGCCATATCTGATAACGTCTCCAGCCACTGTGTTGCACCATCTCTCGGACCCCAGCCAGGGAGCCGTGAAGGACCAACAGAAGCCAATCCTTTGCAGCTTTTTTTCATACCACGACACCATGTCATACACTGACAACCGCTTCGCTTTTTCCAACTAGTCCCTGTGTCGGCAAACAATGCACGACGTGGAAGTCTCTGGGACGACATTCGTAGAACATATCCCAGCCACTGAAGTTGATGTTTCAAGATGGTGAAACTAATTGAATTATCGTCTCTGTGCCCGAACACACGATTCCGAACCTCTGCATTACTAACATGATGTTGCCACTGTATGTCAGCAATCCTTCGGAGACAACGGTGATCGAACACAGAGAGACATCTAACATCCTCAACTCGGAGAGGCCAGGTTTCACAAGCACAGAGCAAAACTGCTCTCACCGACGCGTTGTAGATCCGACCTTTTACAGCCAGACTAACATCAAGAAGACGCCAAAGGTGGTCCACATTGGCATAAGCCGCTATGGCTTTCACTATACGTGAATTGGTCTCATCACTCACGCCACCACTAGCACTTATGCAGCTACCTAGATACACGGACTTCTCAACTATTTCAATCTGCTCACCCCCCAAGGTGAATACAGGAACAGAATCCTGCCAGTCTTGTAAGAGTACTTTGCACTTAGAAAGTGCGAAGCACACACCATACTTACGAACACTGCTTGCCAACTGATTAAGTGCGGATTGCATGGCTTGGGCATTAACGCACAGTAAGACAATATTATCCGCACACTCAAGGTCGAGAAGTCTCCCCAGGCAACAGATCCACACACCCATTACTCACGTCCATCAGAGTTGTTTCCACAATGTCGTCGATGGCAAAGTTGAAGAGGAATGGTGAGATTGGGCAACCCTGCCTAACCCCACTGCTTGAATGGAACAATGGAGAAAGGTGGTTGTATGCCCTCACTCTGCCTGAGGTGTATGTATACAGGGCCTTTAAGATGTTAATGAACTTCTCAGGCACACCCTTCTTCAATGGAAAATCCCAGAGAGCAGTCCTGTCTAACAAATCGAAGGCGGCCCTGATATCAAGAAACACTACGATTGTTGGCCTGTGATAAGTATGACGGTGTTCTAACGTTTTCTGCTCACGATGTTTTTCTCGCTCCCATCTATGAGTCAAAAACAATACCGTTGTTTAGAAATAGATATTATTGGTATGTTATAAGCATAGGTATATATTGGATAATTATGTGACTATTCTCTTCACAACCTGAATTAGAAGTGTCTGATTTCCAAAAACTGACCAGGCCAATAGAGTGCGTAACTTGAACATTTACAAAGTATCCACATTATTGATTACGATTGGCACTGAAGTAAGCTTGATAGTTTTAACAATAAATACAGGAGACTTCCAGAATATCATTACAATAGAGGATTTTTTCCGAATATGTGAAACGTTATTTACTTACCATATAGTGAAAAAACTGGTCAGTTATTTAACCTAAATCAAAACCAACTTTGCACAGAATGGGGCATCTTCCAGTATATGAGTAGGAGTATTTTTATAAGATCAGTTCACCAGGTAGCTACCAAAATACCAGAATAACTGGTAGCATATGCAAAAACATACTTACATTTCCAAGGTCGATAACATTTCTAGCACTAGATTTTTACCAGTTCAGTAACCTAATTCAGTCTGGGTGATCGGTTAGTACCTCCATTTATCATAAAACATTGTACAGTTAAAATCTAGGTACACCTATCTTTACTTGTGTAAGGAAGTTAGATTTTAACGGTAAGTACCAAAATTAATTCCAAAAATATCTACGTACACCAACAACTTGATACTCATAAGTAAAAACAGGAAAAGTGGTATGTGAAATTTATAGATAAAAATATTATTATATTCATTATATAATAACTTACTTCAAGAATGATTGTTCATTTTGCTGCTCAGTATTCTGATTGTGAGACAAACATGACATCGTTTTAAATTTTCTGGCTAGACGTCCCCGACGCCGTCCCTGAGGTGCAAATACGCGAGTCTTTACTTCTTCGGCAGATTGGAAAAGACATTCAATTACGTTTTGCACAGAAGCAATCTCTGAAAATGCACTGTTGGTCAATCTATTTGATGGTAAGGTTTGACCATTCCAGCTAGGATATTGGGTTTTTAATCTCACTATACCGGCATTACAAGCAGAATCGGAATTAGATCGAGGGCGAGCAGGAACTCTCTGACTGGATAGCTGCAAATCGATGGTTGATTTGAGAGGGTTTGAATTTAATTGGTCACTAAAATTGCCACATGAAGTTGTAGAATTGGAAGAGGACTCTGCAGAACTAATACCAGAGTCAAGGATTTCTGATGAGGTACAAGATTCAGTCAGCCATGAATCATCGCGAACAAGAAATGTTTTAGTGACATTTGGTACAGCAAGATTTTGACCCATTCCAGGGATAATTAAATTTGCTGTAGAGGAATCCTTATTATTATTATTTTCCAGAACCTGGTGGGATATGCAGTATTGCTGTATTTGAGGCGTCGGTATTGATTCATATGAACAATTCAAGTGTTTTTGTGTCAAAGCTAGGGACTGATCGAAAACTTCGGCGTCCATACGTCCACTCATCATAGCATTAGAATTAAAATTGAAATCACTAATCCGATAAACACGATTTTTTAGTTTAGGGGAATATGCAGTTTCTCGTTTCCTGCAACTGTCACTGTAACATAATCTCCGACTAACCTTTTTGATTCGAGAAACACTTCCATGACTCGACCGTTTGGTGTAACATCCTCTTTTGATTACACCAGGTCTGGATATATAGTTGGATAACTTCTGCTTTGATTGCTTACGTATCAGGTCACGCATAAGGTGAGTAACTAAATTGTGTGAACGTGCTAAACGATGACGGAAATGACGCTCCTGTATATATTGATTGTAAATGCCCATCAATGCTAAATAGAAAGCTAGTGTGACACAAAAAAGAAAGTAGCGAAAGTGAGACTATAAGTAAAGTTAGCTAACATGTAAGTTACCTAAATGTAGTATTTTTCTTAAAATATTTAGAAGTAAAATAAACCAGCCTTTGAACAATAAAATATTACTACATGAATTTCTAAATTGCCTGACCGTTATGGATCTTAACTATCGATCCAACAACATTTTGATGTGATTTAGTCGATGTAACGTGGTCACTTTTTAAATTTAATTTTAGCAGTCATCTCAAATTCGAGATTTTATGAAGGCCAAAACCATTTTCACACATGAGCTTTTATGTAGCTAACTTTGGTTTTCGCTGTTATATGTTGAACTAGAAATTAAAAACATAATTGTGATGGCTCAGCGCAATGAAAAACAGATACTGTTAGTAGATAAGGCTCCCACCATCCAAACACGGCAATAATTTTTTTACAACCAAATGCAACTATTTGCGCACATATTTACTCGACAAAAGTCACACAAAAGTTGCTTATACAACTAGTTAACGGTTACATCATTGCACAGCCACTAACATTTGCTGTTAATCCTATTGTTTATGACCTTCAAACCAGTACATTCATAATTTTCATCGTTTCTGAGCTCTGAATATTTTGAAGGCTTAAAGACTTACTAATTAAACAAAATTGAACAAGAAACATCCCGAGGTAGGATTTATAATATATTACACACAAGCTCAAAATCGCCTATTTTTCAATTCCATTAAAATGCAAGCTCGAGGAAGAATATTGGTTAGATATTTCGAGGAAAAGTTAACCTATTTTGAGGATTGAATAGGTAAACGAAACTAAATACTTGGTCGCAAACAATAACGAATAAAAGATCTGTAAAATAACACCAAAATGTCCCATTGACCATCAGTAACAGGCTGCAAAATCAGTCTGTTGATCTTTAGATTCCAATGAGAGTATATAAACATAGTCTTGTGTTTGACACGCTGAAAAATCTATACAAAACTGAAGCCAAAATACTTCATTAGAGCACGATAACAAATAACACATGGGATAAATTAATAAAAGGACTAACAGGATGTTGTGGATAGTTTGGTTAAGTATAAAATATTTAAATAGTTCGATATATCACTCTGAGGATTAAACTAGATTAATTAGATAATGATGGATATTTGACTTGATGTAGTTATGTTTTATTAACACCAAGACAGCTTGAAAAAATAAAAAACCTAGCACACGGGAAGATCGGCAAGACTATAATCTATGGACGGAATAGTGAAATTACTAGTGGCAAGTCTTGGATTTCGGTACGAAATCTATTCCTATCCCATTAGCACAGAGTGACGAAACTGTCAGGCCAAACCGCAGAATAGTAGAGGTAGTAACAGTATGAGTAATGATCGAAAAGACTGGGTATAAAAGATATCATTCGGAAAAACATAAACCGGTGAAATAAAAATACGGAAAACAGTTGGGAGAACTTTAGTCAGAGTTTCGAGGAAGACAAGGAATGAATGAGCCTGCGCCACTGCAAACGATTTTGAGCCATACTATCTTAAGTCTCTAACCATTGATTATGATAATCGCACGGACCCCGACCAGGTAGTCTACACCTAATAATATAGCTCAGTCCAATTGTGGTTTGGCCGCCCCTAGATTTCTTCCAGTCTACTTATACACTAGACAACAAACCCGTCAACGTGAAAGGTTGTTTGGCGTGAAAGACACGTGCCACAACCACCTCAGTTGGTGAGGATTTACTACGTCAACAATCGATTTGTTATCTTTACCTATTACCCTATTCCTAACCCAAATATTGCTTAGTCCGTGATCCCAAAATACATGAGCACTGTTTTGAAGATACCTGTGACCGAATACCAGTAATCTACGAATATTCGCTATTGTGAATGATCATGTTTCATACTTACAAAGTAGGACAGAGCGAACTGCTGGACAGTGAAGTCGTCCTTTGGTTGGCAGACGAATATCTCGCCTACGCTGTAAATGACGCAAGTTGGAAATAGTCAATCCAGCCTCAGGAGTCCATGCACAAATTTCATCAGATACCAGACCATCATGACTGATGAGAATCCCGAGATAACCAAACCAATCGATGTGTTCAACTACTTCACACCCTATCGTTAATTCAGGATTTAATGCAAACCAACTCTGAAGTAACACTTCGCATTTGGAGGGAGAAGTGATAAAGACACTGCATTTTGTAAGCGTTTTCACCAAACAGAATTATATCATCTGCATATTTTAAATCAACAGGTAAATCAACCCCTTAACGGTCAAACGATGAATGTGTCTGTAGAAGCCACTCAATGATGAAAACCTCAAGTCCGATTTCCAACCTTAACTTCTAACTTTGAATCCTAACTTCAATTTTTTACACTAATTTATAACCTCCTTACGACACCAATGAGTAGGTGGATTTCCTTAAGGTCACTTTGGCGTCACCAAAAGATCGTTCATAATATAGTCTCACTAAAAAATAGACAAGACAAAATAAAGAAATTGACAAAATAAATATATAGGTGGACAGAAGACAAAAACCTGAAACAATTGCTTAAGGTTTAAAAGGAAAATGTTATAACCACTGCGGTAAATTTTGGTCACAACTTCAGATAGTCAACACTATACCGATTTTAATCATGATTTTTGGTTCCCCATACGGCCGGAGATATTTATGTCAGTGACCACAACTAATACCAAGTTTCAATTGTATAAAAACCAAAGATTAATTTCTTGATTGGACGATAAGATAAGGAATTATATTGGCCAGTTTTTTCGGCATGTTTTGGGGTAAGTAATGCTTCAAACCAATACTTACCATGAGGACGAGTGGGCATCTGTAAACGTTAGATTACTTACCTTTGTCTAGTTCATCGCAATTAGATGTCGTATAAACAGAATTTAAAACCTCTTCAGCTGAATTTAAATATTCCTGCAATATATATGAAGCATATAAATGGACATACAATTTCGAATTCATCCCTATATGGCAAGTATCCAAGTAACTTTTGGTGATATAACCGTAAATCACATGGAAGATTGTTTCCAACTTCAGAATCGGGAATTTTGTTTGGGTAAGTGTGTTCTTTAACAAAAGGAGACGAGCAAGGTGAACACATAAGTTCTTTCATGGTTCCTGACATATAGAACTTGTTATAATGATCTCGGCAGTCCATGGAACTATGTGACTGAAGTTGAGAGGATATTTCATCCCTAAAGTAATATAAGTGACTAACCAAACACTTACCAATTACCATAACCATAAGTATCCAGAGCGTCTAAAAGTTTTAATTCTTCTGAAAGCAACCATTGGTTATTCGCAGGATTACCATCTTCAGAACGCTAAAGTCTGTAAGTTTCAATACAATCAAATTCACCTTTATAATATACTTGTGAATTTTTTTATGTTTCCCACCCTCAACCCCACATGAAAAGCACTATCATGAAGGTAAAATAATATACTCAGAAATATACTTTCACACATATTTTAATCACTGAACATTCGACACACACAATATAGAAGCCACTGATTTCCTCTAGGCAATAGCAACACTTTGACAACTTGCTAAACATAGTAACACCAACGTTGGTTTTCGCGCTTGTTGCTATCGGTTATCTGAATTACAAACTTCAGCCTTCAGAGGAAAGGAGAGGGAATAAATGGACTTACTTTAATTCTCTCAAATGTGTAGTGCTGTGAAGATCCAAAATTCACTGTAATGTATCAACAGGTGCTGATATTATTCAAATGCTCTGTCGAAAGTATGTTTCGTGTTTCACGACCCACCTATGTAGAAACTAAACTATTTTATTGCATCCAAGTAACTGGTTCATATGTTAGTAAAGATACCATCATACTTCAGTGTGTTCGAAGTGTGGGACTTAAGTTAGTGACGGTATTTCCAAACTCCCTTACGGCAAGAACCTGAAACGCCCAAACTTATTCTTATTATTTTATCGTGAAACGCGGTAACTTTATGTTGGCATTCCATGTCTTAAATAACGGTTAGAGTGTTGACTTGTCTTATCTTTATGCTCCCTCTGGAACTAGAGATCTCCGGAGCCATTGCAAAAGGTTCAAAAACTTCTTTCAAATGAACTCAGAATGGGATTTCGTCCTTCTTATCTAGTTTTCAGTGACTGAAACGCCTCAACACAAACAAGTGGTATCGACCCTATCAGTGAACACTGGGAGACAGGATACCGGAATCAACACATATTCACCAACCAACTATCCTTATTAATGAAGACGTGTTTCGGTACAAAATGTTATTAACTCACTACTCGGTAAAAGAAACAGAACTCCACTTGTATACAATTTGATTTCGGTTTTGAACTTTCCTAGAATGTCTTCTAACGTGACCAGTCTTATATTGACTGACAAAATGAAACATAATAATATCAAAATCATCGTTCACTGTACAGTAAACCAACACTAAATGACGTCGTAACATGAGGCGAGATAACGGAAATGGGCTGGGATATTTCGGTCTACCTTCATAAGATTAGCCAGTGTGGCTTTTCACCTTTTTGCTATTTTGCCGATGAACTTCTATTGGCATATCCGATTCATACTTGAAACAAGTAATCGCTGGATGAATTCCACATTCTAAATGTGGCCTCACGATTGTATGGTAGAACACTGTTGGTATTGCTTTACCCAAATGACTAAGTGATTTACGATTAGCCCACAGGGCCTTGAAGTCTTTGCAATAATAACCTCATAGTTACTCGTAATCCTAAGGTCTGTGCTCATAAGGGCCCCTAGGTCTTCACAATCCATCACTAAAACTTCCACCTATAGCACAGCCCTGCATGGATTCTATGTTTTCTCTCTACATATTTGGGCGAGGTTGAACTTCATCATGTACTATATCACAACCCTTATACATTAGTGGAAAAATATAATAATTGCCGTCAGCTAACGATGGGAGAATATTTTGACAAACCTTATCTTCGGTCGCATGAGTAATTAGTAAGACTAGCAAAGCCGATCCTCGGTTTGGAGTAAAACGTGTGAGTTCGGATACATTCTGCACTAAGACATGTTCCATCACACTGATCAGGAGGATGCTATCGAGTGAATTTTTAGATCCGGTTATTTTCAGTTTATACGTGAATGTACTCTCATATAATGATGATAATAATAATATATTTCTCCGAGGCCAAGTACACGCCATTTTGCAGACATGATCTACAATTTACAACATATACTGGTTCACAGTATGCATCCCAAGCAAGCTTGTTTAGTAATCATAATCTATAAAAGTTGATAGCAGTTCATTCGTCCAGATATAATGTGTTTTCTTCAGAATGTTTTTCAAAGGGGCATCGCGTCCACGTTACACACCAGATCCAATCTCGACAAAAAGTGTAATAGGTTTCGGTAGTTCTAAGTATTTATGTAATGCAGCTTTTTAAGTTTATAGTTGTTATAGAGTAGGCTTGTGGAGTGCCTGGTTCGAGCTATGACCTTGGGAAAGCGCGTTCGTCAAGCTTGTTCAAGATGTCAGAAGCCACATACCTTCGCCCTCAGAGCAAGTTTCTGAATAGAAAAAAAAGAAACCGAGGAGCAGCAAGGTATTTGGATATGAACGATAACCAATGGTTAACATTTAGTAGTGGAACAGACGGAGGTATGATAACTTATTAGATCAAATTGATACTAGCTCATGTTGCTAGAGTAAAATGTGATAAGGGGCTGCAGATGACAGAATGCAGTAATAAAGAACAATGAGTTGTGATATTTATCAAGGTGGAGTAGATTCGAATGAAGGAAGGGAAGTCAATATTACTATGAGGAAGACTGTTTATTAGATCGGCGAGTGCATATAGAGAGTGGTGTATTAAGTAAAATAACAACCACATCCTTTAGTGTCTGGTTTTTTATCATCCGATGCCAGCCACACAGTTTCATATAGAAGTCCGAGCTAGAATGTTATAGGTTGTCTTAGTAGAATAGTTAATCCAGCATAAAAATCAGAAACATGAGTCGGAATGTTGAGTGTAAGAGAACAACCTTAATATCACAGATTGATTGACTTGTTCTCATCCATAAAGAGCATGGTAACATCATCAACTTGGCAGACTGAAATACAATAGATGACACTGAGTGTAGATATGCAACACTCAAATGTGAGCTCACAACTAGCGACTTCACAAGTCTCACTATCATGAGGCTCACAAACAGAGGAAAATATGTCCATATTATTAATTGTGCATTTGAGGGCCACAGCGTATTACTACAACTTTTTGAAAAGGTATACCCTGATAATTCTGGAGTGACTTCAAAGTCGTGGACTAATCACGTTTCAGTCAAAAACACGACAAGTGTTTTTAATTTGTTCAATAACGCTCATAATTCGTGGAATTTATTTCCTAGACTATGGAAACTTTTGTTTAGAGGGGAGAACTAAAAAACCACCAAACGAAGGTTTTCGAAACCACTTTGTAGATGGGTTTCTAGTTCATCTAGATCCGCCTCACTTCTTATTCTATGCTCGATAAACATATCAGGCCCCATTGAAGTGTTTGTATTATCTTGCTTTCTAGCGATAAATAACAAAAGATTTATATGTGCCTTCGAGCTTAGTACTGCTCTCGGTAGTCTAAATGGTCGGGGTTCAAGGTCATACTGACTTCATTTTCCCAATCTTACCATTTCTTTCATCCGGACTCATGAAGAACAAAGTGTTACAAATAAATGGGTTTTTCACTGACGGTTAATTGCTATCGTTAAAATCACTGTTTTCACTGGGTTTTGAGTAAATTTGTTTTACTTGACGTTCGAAACTGTGAGTTTACGATTTTGACCTCGGACATTTTTAGTCTCACTCTGTTTTTGATTTGTTGTTTAATTGGTCATGATAGCTCTTGATTTAATTGGTTTAATTGGTCGTGAAGTATAGATAGATCTTAGTACCTGAACTGGAATCTTGTACTTTTATTATTCGGGTCGTTAGCTCGTAGTAAGCACACCCAACTACTGTATCATTCGTCTGTTCATAATAATTTAGGCATTTAATCCACCATGTAAAATTATGTATGAGTTCGATTGAGCGCGCGTCTGCACATCAATCTTTAATCCACCCTCTTGTCGATTGTAAACACAGAAAATCAATTATTTTTCTGCGGCCGATTAACACATAAATATATGTATGGATTTTTGACACACACACGCCTACTCGTTTCCCTGTGGGCCTGCTTCCTGCGCACTTGTAGATTTCGCCAATCTTTAACAATAAACTATCTCGATAACTGGTGTTCGGGCTTTTGAGTAACCTCGAGTAAATTCATAATTTTGCTAGATTTAACTGCCTTGAATGCTCAGTTTACGAGATATCATTTATTGGGTTCAGATAAAGAGAAAGTCAACCTCAACAACTTACGTCTTTATTATTCAACCATGACCCAATTGTTCGATGCAAATAAGGATAAACGTAATCGTAATTTGAATGTTCAAAATATGAGTTCTGGTAACCCCAGTTGGCAAAATCTCAATTTAAACAAGATATTATCCAAGTATACATAATTAAAAGTTAGGCTCGAATTGGAAAGGAGCTTAAGATGTGAGCTTTGGGATGGATTTTAGCCGTGAGGTTGAAGTTTAGGGTTTGTGAGGAAGCTATTCAGTTTTCTATAGGTAGTGGTGAAGTAAATGCTGAGGTGGAAGGGTATTTAGGATATCTAACTGACTATAATCTTCATTTGATGCACTATTTAGCAGTCCTACAGGGAAATTGCCACATTAGGTTAAGGATTCTGTGGATGCAGTCGGTGAATTTTTAAAATTTGTTAAGGAAAATACAGTGTTTGAATCCCAACTGGCTTTTTTTCGACAAAGTTAACATAACTCGTTTTTATTGTTGCAAATTTCTCAGAGCCCTACTTGAACTCATATTCAGCGTAATTGTTTAGTCTTGTTTTCAATAGGTTTTCTCGTTAGGAATTGAAACTGATTCAGAGTCGCAGATATGAATCAAATAAGTGTTTAAATTGTTCAAATGGTTGTGGACGGAATAGAAGAAGCTTTCATTTAACGGGCTTCCGTATCTAATAGCAGTGGATCACCAATACCTCCAGGCAAGAATCTAAGTATATTAACGACAATAGAGGAAAAAAGAAGTTGGTTAATCATAATGATATGTTACCCTTAGTCCTTAAGAATAGATAAGGTGTCCTCTTAAAGGACTATTGGGAAGTCGCTTGGACTAGCTAGGTTGGAAGCGATTTCCAGCATTTGGCAACGCCCCAGGAGTAGGAGTTGTGTCTACAGTCTGTTCTGCTATGTTGGGTCTCCATTTTCTGAGTGTTACCCTTGGGTTTGTATTGGGACTTAGCTGAAGTAGGTGTTTAAGGGGATTCCCAGAATTGTCAAGGATACTGTAAGCCACTAGAAAATCACACCTAAGACGCCTATACTCTAACGGGCAAAGGTTAAGTGATTTGAGGCGCTCTTCACAAGGTTTAAATTTGAGACCCCGAACTGATTTCGTGGCTCAACGTTGGATACGTCCCAGAGTGTCCTTATCCTTTTGGAGGGAGAGAGGAAATACTATTTTTCCGTACTCTAAATGGGGACGAATGAAACTGTTGAAGATTATGTG